GGACATCAAAAACATGGTTCGTTCATATATTGAGAAGGTAGTTATTCTTATACTTTTGAAATACATGCATAAAAAGACTTTGTCACTTTCGAAATAAATTTGTTTGCCATTTTTTTGAGATCTCTACATTTGGTATGTGAATTTTCATATGGAAACTAGTTCTGAAATTCCTTGGTTAATTGGCAGTCAGAAAACAGAGGCAGAAACTTTATTACTGCAAAAAGAGAAAATGTCCATCATTTGGTATGCGTATTTTCATATGGAAACTAGTTTTGAAATTCTTTAGTTGATTAGCAGTCAGAAACAAAGGCAGAAACTTTATTACTGCAAATTGAGAAAATATCCATAGCCTGCAGCAAGTAATCTTACTACAAATTGAGAAGATGTTGTATTGATTGCAATATTAAGAGATCAATTTCAGCATTTTAATCCCTCTTAATGTAAAAATTTATGTAAAAGTAGGCCTACACTTTTGTTACGCTTTTTTTGGTTATAGTTAAATTTAGCTGTCGAAGAACATTAAATACTGCACAAGCCTTCCATTTTGTTAGAGCAAATTGTTCCAATATTAGATCTTGACTTTCTTGATATATATTCTAGGCTACTATGCTTAAATCCATGTCATGGACAATACTTTTACTAAACCAAATTATTATTATGTTTAATCAACCTAAAATTCTCGTAGAGATCTTCTTAGTGCTCAAAAGCTACCATTGTTTTAGAGGACTATTTATCTTCTGATGAATTTTATGGGAATGGGTTTTTGAGACAAGTTATGGGGTTTTAGCAGGAATCTAGGGATCAAAAAGGGTTATGAGAAGAAGATGGAGTAAAGAGTCAAGGCAGTATGGTGTATACATAGTTATTCTATAAACAATGTATATGGTCAATTTGTTTGCTGATTGTTAACCAAAACATGCAAGAATACAATAAAATTTGAGTGTATTGTGACAGATCGGGAAATGGTGAGTAGTCAATCAAAGTGAGTATTACATTGGTTATGTTTAATTAAAGGCTAAACCAATTATAGCAGCAAATGAAGAAAGTTAAACGGTGTTATCAAACACATATCAAGATTTTGTCTTTTTTTCCTGTTTTACATATGATAGTTACCATACCATTGAATAATCTCAAACTAGATAATGGATTTAGGTACTTCAATGTTCTCAGCAATAGTTTTTTCATGTATCTATAATTTACGAACAATTTTGGCCATGTTTCTGCATCTTAGGTTGCTGCACTGATACTAGAAAATACTTTCACATCAATATTGGATATGGCTGGTGTTTTATTACCTTTTTTGAAGTGGTTTATTTGAGGAAGCAGCTCTAAAGGTCTTAAAATTCTCAATTGTCTTGTACGCTCTCTATGGAATACTGCTGAGATTTTTGGCCAGGTGAGGCATGCTTCTATTGTTATATTTTCTCTTGCACAGATAAGATATGATAAATGATTAAATTAGTAGGTCGCTCACACATAAGGGTATGCATCTTTTCACTTTCTTGTGTAAAGTTTAGAAGTGTGTTTAAAGCCTCTCAAACCCAAGGGATGTTAATTTCTCTTTTGTCCCAAAAGGAATCATGCAATCTTTTGCTTCTAAGTCATTTTTCTTTTGTACATCTCTTGCTGAATTTTCAAATTTGGGCTTCACAGTTTTTTCGGTACCATCTTAATTCCAAGTCGAGCAACCCATCCTTTTTCTCTCTGGGTTGCAAGATTTGAGCAGGAACTTCATTACTATATTCTAAAAAGTTTTCGTTATGTCTTTCAAATTTTTTTATTTCAGAGTAATAACCAGTTCTTTATTATGTCCAATAGGTCGCCTATCCTTATAATCATAAGAGACTCCTCATAGACCCAAATCTAGCTCTACATGAATGTCTCATACAGGTTAGTTTCATATTTAAATGTATTAAGCTTTAAAGTGTTAAGTTTCATAGTTTTATTATTCATCTTTCTTTATAGGTTTTCACAATGTAAATTCTACATGGAGATATTCATGAGCTTCATAAAGAGAGAGATTCTTAGCATTTCCTTCTTCATTTATTGTAATATGTTGCTCTTCATTTTAATTGCTATCAAAGTGGACATTCTCACACATAGAAAGAGCATTTAAGTCCAAGGAAATGGTGCTGCTGTCCCCACTGTTTTTCTCATTGGCTGGAGCATTTAAATCAAAGGAGAGGAAACACTTTTTTGTGCTGGAAAAGTGTAGTTTCTATATCTTTCTTTTCTCTTTTTTTTATGTTATCTAATTTTAGAGGGATATAACTTTCTCAAAAAGTTCACCTGCCTCTAATTTTTCATTCCCACTAGAAAAAAGGCTTAGTTTTTCACTATAAAAGTCCCATACCTGTTAAAGCATGAGAGAGAAAATTTGAAAAATGATAATTTATTCACTAACTGTACTTTTGACATTTTCATTTTGAGAGTTGAATTTAGAATTTCATTCACAATTATTCTTTATACTTTTATTATATTGGTATTGGTGAGGTTAGTATAAATGACTTATAAATAAGACTGGAGGAAGTAATAAATATTATTAAAATATTAAATTTTAATATTTAATAATTTAAATATTATTATTTATAAACATTCATCCAAAATTTAAAAATTATTTTTAAATATTAACAATTGAAACTAGTTTTACAAAAATTTATAGATGACTTGTAAATTGTGTGTGTAGAGATTTATAAATAATAATACTAATATTTACAAATAAATTCATGAGCAATCTAGCAAGTTTGATTATTATATGAAATATTTAACTACCCCAAGTGCAGGACAAACACTCTTCCAAAAAAAAAAACCAACCAAGCGTGCCGTTGTTAGAAATAGCGCGGAGCTATATAGAAATTGCTTGCAAGTAAGCTAGAGTTGGCAGAGCCTACATAGAATTGTTTGAAGGGCTAAGGCCAAATATATCTATGATGGGATTACGTGCTATTTTGCTTGACAGGTTTATTCATGCATGAATGTGTTTCTAATGAATGATAAATCCTTTTCGGCTATGGTAGGTGCATCAAAGAAGTTCATTCATTTCCTACCATAGTAGATGTGGAACTTATTATGTTTAAACTACCTAGTTTAGTATTTCCTACTATGGTAGTTCACTGCATGACTTGAACTATTTTTCTACCATATTAGCGGCTCTATCATTTAAGTAATTTAATCTTTTATATCATGGTAGACTTAGGTATAGGTGAGTCCTTTACTACCTTGATATTGACAAATAAATTTGGATTAAAGGTCATTTTTATCTTTGAATTATACATAAAAGGTCATGAATACCTTTAAACTCAACTATGGGTCAATTCTGTCATTTAACTTTAAAAATTGTATTCCTCATCACTCTATATTTTTCTTATCATTAGTTGACAGTTAATAAGTCTCACATTATATTTTTTTTTAGTATTTTTTATTATAAAATATTTGAGTTGATGGGAAAAAATGACCCTTTAAATAGAAGTTGAAGGGAAAAAACCTGGTAAAAAATATTTAAAAATGGTGGGACCCATTAATAATTAATGAACGTTAAGTGTTTTTAACGTTAGGATAATGGCAGAGAAAATCTTTAAAGTTAAAGTATAGAATTGATCTATAGTTGAGTTTAAAGACACTTGTGACTTTATGTGTATAATTCAAAGATAAAAATGACTTCTAACCCAATAAATTTTACTCACATGACAAGTTTACCTAAGCTTTTAACAAGTGCACATTAGATTCTGATGATACCTTTTACATATTAAACCTTGCTGACAAGTTCCGTTTAATAATTTAGCAAGTAAACGCTAATGAAATAACGAGTTAATATCTTAACAAGTAAATGATTTGAAAACTGAAAAATTAAGATGACAACATATGTTGAATTTTGGATGATACTGTAAGAATTCACAGTGACTGGTGGTTCAGTGAAGGGACTTCGGTGGTTGCTGATGATGGTTTAGTGGTCAACGTCGAAGACTGTGGCGGAGGTGGATTTTTGTTTCCCAGAAAAAAAAAAGGGGCTTCAGTAGTAGTTAGATCTTTTCGCATGTCGATTTAATTTCATTTAAGTTTCTTGGTCATGCAAAGAAAATTCAGAATTGTTTAATCTTGTCTTCCAGATAATGTGATCCAGCAGTCCTTAAATGTGACTTGACCTTTTTAATACTACAGAAATATCATGTAGAATTAAGTTAGAAGCAAGCATTATAATAATTTAAAAGTAGATCTGCTGTGCAATATTTTAAAAACTAAATTGGAGGATCAATAGGTTACAAGTCTCATGGTTTAACTAATTAAACCAGTAACTAAATTAGTGATATAATAATTAAATAAAATATTTATATACATATATATTTAAAAATGGATCAAAACAATTCAACCATTCCGAATCTCAGAGTTTTTGCCTCAGATCTTCAAGAACTACTCTGGTCAAAGCAGGCCATCTCAAGTTAATTGCCAGAAAGGGCCAAATGATTGAAGTAGATCATTTTTTTTTTTTAGGTGATAGTTTAACCAATTCAACCATTTAGGTCGGCCTAAGTCTTAAAACAGTGCTACTGCATTATAAAATGCTATATATGAGATTTGCTCATCGTCTCAATATTTGTATGCCCTTTGTAATCTCATCAAGCCTCTATAATCTCATCAAGCCTCTATGGGCAATTTATATATCTGATGTTGTAATTTTTATATGTTGATATGATTTATTTTATTAATTAGTACGATTTATTTGTAGCCTTCAATTCAAAAAAATATAGATATATTTGCAACCCTCAAAAAAAGATTAAAAAATAGCATGCGCCAAAATCCTTGCTTTCCCTGGCCCCTACGTGGGGCTCCATGTTTATCTCAATACAAGGTGGGCTCCACATTTTGCATGAAGTCCAATGAATGAGATACATTGTGAATTGTGAATCATGCGAATTTTTCTCTGTTTTTTTTTTTAATATATAGATAATAAAGAATAAAGTTAGAAATAGTTAATGTCCAACAAGGGTAGAAAACCTGTAAAATATCAAAATTAACTATTACATTATCTCCATACATAATTTTAAAAAATAGTGAAAACATTTTCGCGCGTGTGTGTGTGTGTGTGTGTGTTATTCTGGCAACAAGCTTGCCAAATTTGTGATGCTAAGTTGAAAGGTAGGTAGAAACTGAAGCTCACATGTGAACGCCATCTTCGCCAAAAACAAAGAAAAAGAAAACATATGAACACCATCTAGACAATACAACATATAAACTTATCCCTAAACCTGTCCTTAACACTGTAATATCCTTATATCCATAAATACAAGTCGCTACTTTCTTAAAACCACATATAAACACATTTCTTGGTCCTTTTATTTGTGATCACGCAAGTTATTAGGAACCTTATTCTAGGGAAGGTGAAGCAGGTGATTCTCTAGCATCAATGGAGTCTCTTCCCCATGAATTCTGAACCTGTGCTGCAAACTGCAAATTCCAGAGAGCATCTTCCACAGAAGGCCTATCAGTAGGATTTTCTGAGACACACCTCACACATATCTCCATCAATCTCTTCAATGATTCATCTGAGCATTGCTTGTGAACTGCTGGATCAACAATGCTCCTTCTAGCTATATCATCAGTTGCTAGGCTTACTTGTAACTGCATAGCAGCCACCAAAGAACAATGTTAAAATTTGATGTTACTTTCCCATGCCTTGGCCTTAAATAGCAAAGTAAGGTCTCATACTATGAAAAACTTTCAGAAATGGACTAAATCAAATCAACCCTGGTAATTGAATGAGGAACTAGAATATGGTCTACTCCAACCCTATTACTTAACTAGTGAATCATTAGAGCCAGTTTTATTAACCTTTTTCATGAAAAAAAAAAATCACCTGTTTTTTTTAAATATATTTTGTGAAATTTTATGTTTGTTTAGATGGCAAAGTAAGGTCTCATGCTATGCAACACTTTCAGAAATGGACCAACTCAAATCATTTTTTATTGTTGTAACTAAACATAAAATAATATCTGCTTTTTATAAAATATCTACAAAAAAAAATATTTTTAAAATATATCTAAACTATATAAAAATCACTTATTTTTTAATCTTAAACAAACAGACCCTTAATTAGACTAGTCAGTCAAGCTGATCAATTGTGCAGGCTGATGTTGACCAGTTCTGTGCCAGGGGGTGTGGCAACTTCACCAGGCAGCTTTGCACAAACTCAAGTGTGACAGTGGTGGAGTTATGCCACTAAACCAGGAAGCATGGACACTCTGAAAAAGAGTTGTAACTGTGTTCAAGATGTGTCTGACACATCCATTGAACATGGTGCACAAGTTGAATTATACATAGGCACTTCAATTTTTTTTTAACGTGTAATAGAGTCATGCCCCTTACTTTCTAACTTCCAAACAAGTCGGGTAACGCTATGTGAATTGCACGAAGTTTTGTTATAACAACAGGGAGACTGGCTGTATTTTAGCTTAAAAGTTGGAATCCAGAATAACTAATACTTACAAGATCTTTTAGTGTTCCAACTTCATTATGGAACATGATTGTGCGTCCTAGAATGATTTCAAGTAAGATTACGCCAAAATCATAGACATCATTCTTTTCACCATCCTTCATCCTGCATCAAGAAATAATTGAACTACCTCAAATTAATTGCCAAGAGAGGAAAAACTTAGTATCACATGTAATTGTAAAGGCTAAATTATGCTGATAACATTATATTTGTGTTATGTTCAAAACAATGAAGAGTAGGTTTGAATGGCCATAAATACATGCAGCTTCCTGAAGTCTCTGTCAAAGAATTGTAAAAGGCAGAGAAAAGGAATTTTATTCCGGCAGTGACTTCTGGGAAGTAGTTAAAGAATCTCAGCATAACCAGATATGAATAAGATAAATTAAATTTTAATGGTTTCACAAGAAGTTATTGATTACAAAGTAGAGGGTACATTAGGAATCACAAATGGCCAGAAAGCAGCTGCATAATGCAACTGACAATTGTTTTATGACCAGATAGATAAGCAGTATAAGAAAACAATAGGATTGCATTATTACACGCTTCACCAGTCACGATAGCAAACAATAATGAGCTACATTTGTGAATTACTTTTACAGAATTAAGTGTTTGGAAGAAACTTGTTCAGAAAGAAGCATATTTACAAAGCACAATGATCTAATCAAAGATGCTAATACAAAAAAATACTAGTCTCCTCTTGGTCCAGCAAAAAATAATGCTATACTCTGTTCAATTATTGTTAACAACCAAGAAGTTTTCTACTGTTGTAAGCAATTCAGAGTCTCAATTCCAATTGCAATAAAAGAAACTGATATTCTCTTACCTTGCTTGAACATTTCCTTTAACTACTGGGGAAAAAGTTCCATTGCCTACCTGAAAGTTTAAAGGCAAAGATTTGATCAGAGAAAATCAGAAATGAGAGAAGATTTAGCATAGAATAATAACAAATAAAACGTCTTTCCAGTTACCATTATCTTATTATCAGTCAATAGAGGAAGATTGTAGGTGCATATTTTAACATTGAGATTGTTATCCAGTAGAATATCTGTTATCTTCAGATTATTTGAATACAGTCCAGGCACCATCCCAGTGTGCAAAAATTGAATGCCTCTAATAACACCAATTGCAGCTGCTATTCTCTGTGCCCAAGAAAGCTTTTCCCCAGAAGATCCTGTTGGAAATGAATATTATAGAGAACCCTGATTTCCTTAAAAGGTGAAAATAAGAGCAAATTCGCTAGACTTTCCGTGCATGGTGACACTTTAAAATTGTATTTCACTTATCATGCGTACTGACATTGACTTTCATAACTAATTATCTTAAGTTATAAAATGTGAGAAAAATCATGAATGAAGATTCTAATTCAAAGTTTTTAATACCAGATATGCAGCCTCGTAAACTTCTGTATGGTACAAACTCAAATATGATATATATATTGCTGACACTTGGATCATCATGGCTGCACTCGAAGCAATGTCCTAGAGCACTGACCAAGTGTGGATGCCTAAGTTTAGAAATCAACTCAATGTGATGCATATATGTCAGAGGGCCATGCCTTTTCTTCATTTTCAAGCTTCTGACAGCAATATGAGTTCCATCAGAGAGCAATCCTTTGTAGATCTGACATTATGGTTGAAGCACATCAAAACTTTTGAGTCGTAAGTTCAAAGGAATATTAGCTTATACAGACAGTCAGAACTAGAGTAAAATAAGCACTGTGAATGACATGATTAAACAATGCAAAGCATGTCATTGTTATTTTTCAGAAGGAAAGTGTCAGCTTCGTTATTTGTATGAACAGTTACTGAATAGTATGTATTGCAAAGTTGAAGTTTTACATCTGGTGACAAATGATGTATGGTTCTTAAACTGACCATATTTCAAAGCTCTAAGACAGCATATCTAAACCGTATCCCATGGCCCATGCCAAGGATATCTTTCCCAGCAAATATTATTTCTAAACATAAATCATGTAAGAGTTTCAAATGGACCGGAATTAAAGACACAAATTGAGCAAGAAGCATGTTTATTGCTATATGAATTTCATCACTGAAAAGTCATACCTGACCACATGCACCTTCACTTATGAAACATGATGCATCAAAATTATTTGTAGCCTCCTTGAGTTCATCCAAAGCGAAGGTCCTATAAGCAGAAAGGCTGGCACCCATCTTCATTGTCTGTGAGATATACCCTGCCAGCAATCAACGTAACGTGAGTATATCTTTCCCGATTCATACTTTACATGAAAGTGGATTTTGAATTATATCATCCTATAGCCTGATTTGATTGTTATCTCATCTTGTTCAGAGGTTCTGTTTTCAGTAGAATATATATATATATATATATATATACTACTCAGGAAAATAGGTCCAGTCTATTTTAGTTGTTAATCGAGAAATGTCTTCAAATTTAAGTCAAACGATTTCTTTATATACTTAAAAAGGAAACTAAGAACTGGAAATTGCTAAGAAAGTTAACGTGATCTACTTGAGAACAGGACAAAGGATTTATATATTTACTTGCATCGCTGAGCAGTTTTGCGGTGTTTACTGAAGAGACATGCTCTACTATGGACCTTGCAGGTCTCACATGTCTGTGATGAACCCGGCTAACAACATGCTCCATCATGGATCTTGCAAGCGTTTTCACAAATTCCTTATTAGGCGTAGGAACTCGGCTGATGATATTCTCCAATACTGAAAGTGCAGTTCTTGTTGTTTTAACCTCATCATGTTTGTCATTCATCTGGCTTTTAACTAGCTCCAATTTAGACCCTGCAGGTGCTTTCCCAGATCCTTTTTTGTTTACCCGTACAATAACCAAGAAAACCACTCCAAAAACCAAGAATCCTCCAACGATACCTCCCATGCTTGACACAAGAACTGTTTTACTAGCTGTTCTTCTTCTCTGCTTTTGTTCATGGGGCATAACATTCACTGCCAGAGCCTCAGTTTGACAGAAGGTAGGAGGATGCTGATCTTGATCCTCATTTGAGAAACAATTTCTGTCATACAATGCAACCACCTTGTTCTCTGGTTTCAAACAACTGGGAAGCTCCCCTTTTAAGAGATTTGAAGATAGATTCACAAAAAGGATATCAGAATTGCAAGAATAATTACTGAACAGCGTTCCAGTAAGTTTATTTGCCGAAACATCAAGGTATTTGATGGAAGGCAAAGAGAGTAAAGATGGTAGAAATGGTCCCACAAATCCATTTAATGAAAGGTCCAGCTTTTGAAGCTGGTAGGAAGAGCTTAAATTAGAAGGTATACCAAACCGGAAGCTGTTATTTCTAAGTACAAGTGAAACTAACTTGGTGTGTAGAGATGGAAAATGGGGTCCAAATGTGTTGTTTTCCAAATTAAGAACTTGTAGATTTTTCAAGCTACTAAGGCCAGGTAGTTCACCATGTAAATCATTATTTGATAGATCCAGCACCCTCAGAGTTTGAAGATCGTTAACAGAAGTTGGCACAGAGCCACTAAGAGAATTTTTTCCCATACTCAACACAGCTAAACCTTGAAGCGAACCTACCCACATGGGAATTGTACCTGTAAAGTGGTTATCATCAAGAACCAATGATTGCAGACTCTTCAGCAGAGAAAGCTGGATTGGGATGGCTCCACTGAAATGATTTGAGCTAATGTTAAGAATCTCCAGAGAAGGCAGTTGAGAAATGCTTTCAGGTATAGGACCCCAGAGACCCATAGAAACCAGAGAAAGAACTTTCAAGCTCGAGAGTGCACCCAAAGTGGCAAATAGAGAGTCTGAAGTGAAATCTTGAGGCAAATAAGAAACCCCATTGTCACCAACAACATGAAGCTGTGTTACATTGTCTTCATAGCAGACTATCGTCAAACAGTTGGTCGACTCGACGTTGCAGAAATCTTTCGTAGTTCTCAAGCTTCTTAGAGCTGATGGATACCCCAGAAGCTTCTGGAATTTCAGAAGGGCATAAGACTGAGAATTATGTAACTGATGTGTACGGTGGATGGCGAGAAAGAAGGTGAAGACGACGACGAGGAAGAAATGACGAAAATGGAAAAGTTTTTTAGCCATCGCCATTGTTAGCTTCGTCTTGTTCCAGTGGATAGAAGAGCCACAAAGGGGTCTCTAAAACAGAGAGGGTTCACGAGGGAACAAGGCGAAGAAGAAGATGAAGCAGCCTACGCCATTCAATACAAAATAATTAACTTTGTTTTCACTGTGATTCTTAGTCTTTTTTGGTCGCTGGCATCCAGCTTGCGAGTGAATCTGACTCCGAGTGTTGACATCACAACTTCACAAGAACCCATGCACATTGCACAGAACACAACAAAATTTTTTTTTATTAAAAAAATATAGCCAAAATAATTATCAGTGGAGCCCAGCTTCTTCACGGCTCCTACCTACATAGGAGCGGCCTTTAAATTTAAAGCCACTTAACCGTGTGATTCTGCATCCATCTTCACGATTTCTCAATTAATACAGGTCACAATAATAGAAAAGTGTATGTCTCTATTATATGCCGTCCAAAATATAATTTTTTTTACAACTAACTTTGATCAAAAATATAAGAAGCTTAGTGTCTTTAAAAATTATTTTTTTCATTCCACGCTAGCTTTTATTAACCTAGTTTACTTTGTCAGCATGAGAATTTATCACCTCATTCTCACTCCATTGGCTTTATAGGTTGAGAGAAAATATTTAGTTTAGTTATATTTATAAAACATCTAAATTATTATTATGTTTATTTTTACACTTTTGTTTCTATTAAATATTGAAAAAGTTATTAAATGTTATAAAATTTTATTTTTTATAGTATGTATACTTAAATTTTTAAATTTAATAAGAGTAAAGTTGAAATCTTGTGAAATTTTTAAATAGCTAATGAGGTTTAAGATTTTCTTAAATTTTAATAAAAATACTAAAAATAATTTATAAATAAGACCAAATAAGTATCATTTTAACTTTCCCACATGACATCCCTTATTAAAAAGAATATTGACATAGATACCCTCTTTTTGATTTAATTCATTATTAACAGTAGAGGGTAAGAGTGGAATGAGAAAACTATCGATACAACTAAATTTTATTGATATGTAAATTATAATTGAAAATTGCTTATAATTTAGACCAAAGGGAGTAAAGCGCTTTCAACTATTTTATATTTTCACTGCAATCAAGGAATGACAATTAATTCATTAAATATATCCTAAAATGAAAAAATTATCTTGTTTTACCCTTAGTAAATATATATATATATATAGAGAGAGAGAGAGATGCCCCATATACCATATATTTAGATTCAGTGCTTGTCTCTAGTATAAGTATCAAGTGTATTTCCCATTTAAGTCATTAAAATTCATATCAATTATTCTAAATTCATACTTCACCTGATATTAATAAATGAGTAAATTTATTTAAATTATTAATTTAAATTTTAACAATTTAAATAAGATAGATACCTCGTGGGACAAGCACCTCTGAATCCAAATCTTACTTTAAGAACCAAAAAGTTCATTCTAATGGATATATTATAATAGGGACGAGAAAGCACCAAAACATGGTTCACAATCACAAGTGTTATCAAAGCACTCCACATTCTCGATACATACATACATACATACATATATTAATTATAAAAAATCATCCCCTCCTTTTTCAAATTTGTAATATGCAATTGCAAATTGTGCTCCTAAAACTTGTGAATTTATTTATAATAATTAATATTACATGTTTTAATTTATAAGATTTTACATGACAAAATTGATTTGTTGAATTGCGTATCTCAGTAGAAGGAGTACTCATCGTCAGTGCTATATCGTATATTGTATATGCTTCCAAGTATCAGCCTCCACTGTGGTCCCTCCTGCAACTTTAAAAACTGATACACAATAATTTTATTATACAACTTTAGAAATAATCTCTTTCTATGCCAAAAAAATCCACAGTCCTTCGTTTTGATCAAATGAAAGATTACGTTTTTTGCAATAAAAAATTTGCAGCTTTAAAGTTCATTGCTCATATATAATGATATCATGAATATGAGAGAACTTTTTAATAATATCAACATTTGTATTTTTTTAATATGATAATGAAAATTTAAATAATGCAAGATTTTAGTTTAAAATTACAATTTTATATTTTCATAAAGCAATGAAATTGATGGTTTAAAAATTAATTTTAATTGAAAAAAAGTAGCAAATATTAAAAGCGGGATGATCAATACTCCCTCCGTGCCATATTATAAAACTCTTTTAAAAAAAACTCAGTATCTCAAAATATAAAATGCTTTAACAAAAATAAAATTTAATTAATTATGTATTTTTAATATTACCCTTCCCAATATATTATCTCTTTTTAATATTTTTTTATAAATGGAGCATTAAATAAAAGATATTTTTAAAAGTTTATTTTTTTATTTTGGAACAATAAAGTTGTAAAATATATTTAATAAACTTTATTAATATATATAATTTTTCATTTTTTCCTAAGGCCTCCTCACAACCAGCAATTATGAGATTAATCTTTTGAGAAATTTGAGAGCCATTTAAGGGGTTATTCTTTCTCAAGTAATGCTCTCCATATATACCTCTGAAAATCAAACTCTGTAATGAACAAAAAAACCTAGACCCCTTGTATATGTAATTTTATTTAAGAATATTTTATAAAATAGAATGGGAAGAGAGTGTTTTTATTGGCAGAATGACAAATAAGGATCTTATAAAAATATTGATATTAAATTAAGATTTTTTTAAGACCGACGTTCTTAAATTTTAGTACTCATTTTATCATGTTTCGGTACTAAATTTTTAAGTTAGTATTAATATTCTTACATTGGGAGAATTAATATTTTTTAAGTCATTCTCTTTATTTTATTGAGAAAATTATATTCAAATCCGACATAAATAAATTAATTATTATAAAATTTATTAACAATTAAATTAAAATTATTAATAATAAAATCAGTTGTCAACGATTTAATTCAATTATCAATAAATTTTATAATAATTAATTTTTTATATAATACTTTAATATAATTTTGTCTTATTTTATTTGAGTTGAAGCAGCAGAGTAGGGTCATTATTTTTTAGTTTCGCATTCCCGAAGCATATCAATGTTCAGTTCACAAACGGAAAAACTGTGACAAAATAATAAAATATGAACTTTGTCCGTTAGCGAGATCTTTCAAGTGCTGCTACATAGAACAGGCCAATGAAAAAAGTGCCACCATTTGTCTTTTACAACAGAAGTTGAGCATTTTTCGTTTTCTTTTTGCCTTTTTTCCCATCCACTGATCGCGCGCATTTAATGAAGGAAAGAGTATAATTATTTTAAATTTTAATTGGAATAAAATAGTATTTCTATAGTTAAAAATATTATTTTCCTTCCAAAACTTTTTTAACGAATGCTGAGTGATGAGTCAATATGTCTCATAAATAATTTTTTTAAAAATCAAAATCACTCTTAAAAAACTCATCATCTCCTTTATTATTAATTAATGTAGAATAGTTGTAAAGATCATATATAATAATAGTAAGATATTTTGACATATTTTTTTCTTCTTTTTGACATTAAAATTAGACATGGCTCCTGCCGCTATTATTTTACTTCCAATCCTTTTGATCATGTTAGATAATCAAAATGAATCAAAATATTTTATTATTATTATGTTTATTATTATGTATGAGCCTCATAACTATTTTATATAAGCTAACCACGAAAAGGATGATAGATTTCTAATTGAAGAGTGACTTTGCCTTGCAAAATTGTTTAAGGGAATATTACCCTGCTTTTCAAGACAAGGTGCTCACATTAAAAGACGTTTTGAAAAAAATTAATACAAAAGCAAAAACGTTTCAAAACCCATATATCTATTTCAGACTTTTAAATTTAACATTATTTTCAAAAAGAGTGATGATGGTCAAAAGAAAAATAAGAGTGAAATGATACTCCTACTTTATCAATTGACAAGATATCTTTTATTAAATACACATACTACTGAAATTATTTGCAGAGTTAATATTTTTATAAGCTTTTAAAAATATCATTTATTATAAGGAGAGAGAAATATATTTGACATTTAAATTGTATGCGAATATTTTTAAATAATAATAATAATATTTTAATTAACAAATATTAAAGTATAAATTTTTTAATAAGACTTTATTTTGAATTTAATATTTTCAATTACTTATATGTATTACTGTGCCAACAATAGTGATTTGATAATCGTCTAGAAACCAATCAAAATGGTTAGTTAAAATAGTATTTTGGTCTTTTATATAGGTAAGAAGTAACTTTAGTCTGGTCAAATTTATTTATAATTTAATGGACTCAATTAGTAATAATTCTTTGTAATTTTGTATCAATTAACAAAATTTAATGGAAGGGTGATATTGCTTTGTATTTTAATACATGAACAGTAATATTTCATAACCTTTGACTTGAGGGTACCCATTACACTTGAAATTGAGAGGTAATGAACTCTACAATGATATAAGATATATTTGTTATCTCATGCATATTAAAAATTGAACAACTATTTACCTTATTTCCACGCAAATTATTTTATAGTTTGTTATCTCGTGCATATAACAAATACAAAGAATAACTTGTTATCCTCAATTGTGTTATCCGAACGGAAAATAAATTTTAAAAATAAAAAATTTCATTTTGTAATTTGTTATTTAACTTTGTTTTATTCTATAATTTATTATTTTATACATATTAAAAAAAGAGGGGTAATGAATGATAGGTCTCACTACTATAAGACATCCTCACAACCCTTCTATTTTATCTTAATTATACAGACTTTCTATTTATTTTGAAAAGTATAAAGGTGCAAATTTAGCTTTCAACTATGTTTTCGAAAACATTGAGTAACCTATATTATAAGTTGATGTGAAATAAATTTTTAATTTTAAAAAACGGAGCATCTAGCAACATTCGTTAATTTTTTTTATGGATGTTAACTTCCTATGTGGGCCCACAATTTTTGAATGAAAATGACACATGGTGCTCCACCCAAACAAATAAATCTATAAATATAGTTAGAAACTATTTTTTAAGAAACGCTGAATAGTTTTTATTATAAAAATAGATCATTCAGTATGTTTTCATTAATTTTGGTCAAACACTATTTATAAATAGTCTAAACATGTTATGGGTCCTATATATTTGAAAATAAATGGCATTTGTTCAAAATTAAATAAAATGTACTAGATAGTTTGTTTTTTTTATAA